AGAATGTCATGTAAAGAACTTTTTATTGATCAATACTATTATTTCAAAATGTTGTTCTACCGATAGAATAAACATATGCATTGATATTGAAGATTCTCTTTTGAGCTTAACAGAATCCAACTTATGTATTGGAGCAATTTTTTATGTATTGTTAACAAATATATATTAAAAAGACAATTCCAATGTTTTATTAGTCATTTACCCAACCTCATAATTTCCATCTATTGAATATCTACAATATAATAATGTGGCATCTTTTTGGGGATGTGTTGAGGTGGGCCTCTCTGTTTTTCTGAAATTGACATATATATATATACACATATATATATATATATATATTATATATATATATATATGAATTGATACATACATTAGAACCTTATTGAGTAGATTTTCGTTGACCATTTTTCGGCCGCTGGATTGCTATTTCGGCCTTGATATTAAATGTGCACACTCAAGCAGCGCTTTGTAGTCATAGGTGATTCGAAACCATGACCTATCGGTCGTAGGTGAAGCTTCTTACTACTCAAAGCTGCGCTTTGTTGTCATTATTAAATATGAGATTGATTTCTGTTAATTGGGCATGATTGTTTTTCAATCATTGTCCAATGACCCTTCAGACACTGTCCATACTACTCACACCAGCTGCTTTGTCATCATTATTTTTCATATAGATGTCCCTGTAAGAAACGGGTGCAGCCCCGCGGACGTAAAGCGCACCAAGAGGGAAAGCCAGCCTAGATGAAACCCAAGTGAAGTTTCATCCCAAACCAATTGGTGGAACTTGTAGCAAGTTCTTTCCTATGTTTCGTGTCTTGAACGAACCATGTTCCATATATAAACGATGTGAGACAATTCATAAGTGATATTTTAACACGCCCCCTTACTTGTGAGTCCTTCATAACAAGCCCAAGCCCATATACGGAGCCGGGTACCCAAGCTCTACTAGAAACAGACTGGGTCACACGGTCCTAATAGAACCGACTCTGATACCATGTAAGAAACGGAGAAAAAATGGGTAATCGTCTACGTGAAGCGCACTAAGACAGAGATAACCCAGATGAAGCCCAAGTGAGATTCCATCCCAAAACCAATTGGTGGAACTTGTAACAAGTTCTTTCCTATGTTTCGTGTCTTGAACGAACCAGTGTTTTAACTTCTTATCCCCAACCTTTTGGTAATCATTAGGCCAAAACGAACTCAGAGAATCTACATTATAATCAGCCAGGAACATGCGCTTTTCAAAGGCCTCAAGGTCGTTCGTATCAACCGAGACTAGTGATTCCTGATAGATTTTTTGTCCGCAATATGTTGTTCAGCAGGGTTGGGATCGCTGATGCCAAGGGCAAGGTTAAGAATGCCAAGGTTCCGGTTGAACATTCTTAACCTAGCATAATGTTTTTACCAAAAGGTTGGTTTTTACCAAAAGGTTGGGATAAGAAGTTGAAACACTGGTTCTTTCAAGACACGAAACATGGGAAAGAACTTGCTACAAGTTCCACCAATTGGTTTGAGATGGAACCTCACTTGGGCTTCATTTGGGCTATCCCTGTCTTGGTGCGCTTCACGTAGACTATTACCCATTTTTCTCCCGTTTCTTACATGGTATCAGATTTTTACATGGTATCAGAGTCGGTTCTATTGACGGTTCTATTGAGATCGTGCGACCTAGTCTGTTTCTAGTAGGGCTTGGGCACCCGACTCCGTATATGGGCTTGGGCGTCTTATGAAGGACTCACAAGTAAGGGAGCGTGTTAGAATATCACTTGTGAGTTGTCCCACATCGTTTATATAGGAAACATGGTTCGTTCAAGACATGAAACATAGGAAAGAACTTGCCACAAGCTCCACTAATTCTTTGTGGGATGAAACTTCACTTGGGCTTCATCTGCGTCTTGGTGCGCTTCGCGTCCGCTGGACCACACCCGTTTTCCCCCGTTTCTTACATGGTATCAGAGCAGGTTCTATTGGGACCGTGCGATGACCCGTTTTTCCCTTCGTTTCTTACAGTCTCTAAAGTCGTCAATTTAGAAGGAAATGAGCAAGTTCAACTATTTGATTAGATTGCCTATTTAATATTACTTATCGATGTTCATATAACCTCAAGTTATCTTATTTGCTTTAGATACAGATACTGTCGTCTATATGGGGGTAATGAGTCTTGAAATAATTTGCCTAATGCTGATCTTATGATTGAAGTGCACAATCTATTGGAACATATGATTGTTTTGATTTGCAAAGATATTAGAAAAAGCTTATAGCCCCTGCAAAATATCATCATCTCCTATTTCACAATGCACTCTGGAAATCTTATTGAATGTTGAATTCAATAGATGAGTGGGATAATCAGTCACATAAAATTGGAAAATTCATTGAGTGCACCTGGCAATTACTGGCGGCTGAAGAGAAGTACAACTAACTTTTTTTCTCAGTAACTGTTTTGGTTATGCATGCTCATCTGAGTAATTCTTGTCTCATACTTGCAGCTGCAAATTGCAACTCCCCTTACTCGAGATTATTTTCTGCGATAATTATTTTTCATTCTTGAACAATGTGTCGATAATACAGTTGGAAAAGGAGGCCACTGTTAAGGGAGTTACAGTAGGACAAGCTCTTGACATTGATATCCCTCCACCACGGCCGAAAAGAAAGCCAAGTAATCCTTATCCTCGAAAGACATGTGGAGGAGCTCCTACTCTCCAGGTGGCAGTGAAGAATGGGAATACACCATGCTCGGTTTCTTCTTCGTGCCATAGTAAATTGACAATAACTTTGACGAAAGAATCTGAAGAGGTATAGGTCACTCACTCCAGCTGATTGCCACTCTATATATTTTATCAACTTTTTTTCCCTTTAACATTTCATCTCGTTTCTTCCCTGCCTTTTTCTGATGGTTTCATCTATTCGTTATTTCGCTCGAGTATAAATAAAACTTTTATCCCGTGATGCTTTGTAATTCATGCTCCAGGAACCTAATGATGATGAAAAATCAGATAATGGTAATAATGAGCAAAGGAACGTGCCTTGTTCATTCCTATCTCCTGAAAAGCCATGTACTTTTATGCAATACGGCTCCCTTTCGAAAGAAGCAAACAATCACGATGGGACTGCCGCATCTCAGATCACAGTCGAAGCCCACACAACGAGTGCTGACTACAAACAGCCTTTATTCAACGCTACAAATGTTACCTCACAGGATGAAAAGTTTGTGTATTGTGAAAAGACAGCTGAACACATTGAAAAATCGACAAAGTACCCAAGTCACGTACCCGTGCACATTCTAGACGGGAGCTTGGATGTACCCGGACCTGATACTGCACCAGATACATCATCCTCAAACCAGCCTTTTTCTGATTTTCATCCATCGATCTTCATTCCAATCCAGAACCAAGACAATTACCACCACCCTTCATTTATGCACCTTTCTTCAATGTTTTCGAGCCTTATTGTGTCTACTTTGTCTCAAAATCCTGCAACCTATGCTGCGGCCAGGTTTGCCGCCAATTTGTGGCCATTTTCGAACACCATCGGGTTAGGACAACCTTGTACAGCCTCAGCAAGTTCAATTGCTGCTGCCACAGTAGCAGCTGCCACCGCATGGTGGGCCGCTCACGGGCTTCTTCCTCCTTTACTCCATACACCTTTTCAAATTCAACCTACTCCGAACAACAGTCGAGGAAGAACAGAAAACGGACCTGATAATCCTCCTCGTGTCCAAATGACGAACGAACAATACCATCAGCAGCAAAAAGTCCCGAAATCGTTGCTAGTTGCATCGACATCCGAATCCGAAGCGAGTGCTGATGCAAAACCGAATGCTTCCGAATTCTCTGCAGAAAATGCAGATACTGAAGCTGCTACAAACATATCATCCAAGAGCCAAAAGCCGGTCGACCGCTCGTCGTGCGGCTCGAACACCCCATCTGGCAGTGATGCGGAGGCCGATGCAAAGGGTGGAGAGAACGAGAAGAAGACGAACGAGAAGGAGATTTCGTGGAAAGAAGTATCTGAAGAGGTGCACTTGGCAATTCTACCCTTATTGAATAGGTACATGCCATCATCGTAATATGTTACTTATTATCCTTTTTTTTTTTCGGCATGCAGGGAAGACTGGCATTCCAAGCGCTTTTCTCTAGAGAGGTATTACCCCAAAGCTTTTCGCCTCTGCACGATGACGATAAAAAGAACAAAGAGAAGAAAATGTTGCCCCTTAAAGAAAATGCCGAGGAGAAAGAAGAAGAAAACAGGCTGCAGTTAGACCTTAATGATATCTGTCCCGACAAGCAAGAAGGGGTGATTAGGAACCAAGAAGAGGGGATTCTAACTATGGAACTTGGACCCATTGCTAAGCTGAAAGCTCGGCGGACTGGTTTTAAACCTTACAAGAGATGCTCGATGGAGGCTAAGGACACTAGCGTCTCGACTAACTACCAGATTGAAGAGAAAGGTCCCAAGAGACTGCGTATAGAAGGAGAAGCTTCGCCTTAATGATCGGATTCCCAATTAAGAGGTATCCCCGTGCTGACGGTGCATGCTTTTTTCACTTCATTCTCTATTATATTTGGAAGACCACGATACTTTTTTTT